AGCATTATATATTGTCTCTTAATACACCTCTGATATTATGAATCTCCTGTTTCAACTCCATTCATTTTGGTTGCATTGGATGTTGAAAAAGGCTTCGCACAGATACAGTAATGCTAAGTATCTTTCACATTTTTAATGCAAATACAAACTAGCCTTTTCCCAAAAAGTAGCCTTTCATAAATGTAGGCCTCTCTGTCTTCAAATTGACTATTACAACTTGTATAATAACTAAGGGTGTGCGTTCAGATCTACCCGAGCTGAAAATATACCTTATCAGTATTTTCAGGTATGTTTCGGCATCCCAAATGTATCCAGGTTTTCGCAGAAAAACCGGTGGAAAACCTCCCCAAAAATCCTAGATATATTTGGGGTTACTGGGTAGATCTGAAAACACCTGTTTGCTGGGCTTCTTTTCTCAGAAATTTTGATTTTATTAGAGAAATAAAACTGGGAAACATACAGAAAAAAAGTTGAAACCATACATGAACATCAACGAAATAAAGCATAAAGAACAAAAACAGGCAAAAGAGAAAAAAGAAGAAAACAAAACAAAAGGGATATAAAAGGCTTCTGATTTTCTTTAGAACAAATATAATTTTGGTTGTAGATTTTTTTTGCTTATATACAAAGACAAGAACGCTCTCTCTTAAATTTCCCTTAAGCAGATTTCTTCTTCAGAAAATCCACAAAGTATCCTTAATCTTTTTCATGCTATCTCTAATAAGGAAGTAGTTGTCTTTTCCCTAACCAATACTATAAATTTAGTCGTATCTGCCAAGTCCAACATCTTCTCAAGGTGCTCTTCTAATATAGGTGTTATCGGACATTTCCATTTCTATGTATAGTCATTTTCATTGCCGTAGTCAAATATAGGAACAAAAATTCATAACATAAAAGACTCTGGTTTCAGCTTTACCTTAGTCTTTAGAATGTTCCACAGATTCCATATCTTCCTCCTTAAAAAAATTGTCAAAAGTAATGTAATCATCTGTCTGATATCTTTGTCATTTTTTCTTGGATACCTCTTAGCCTCAGATAATATTCCTTTTCACTTAAGTCCATAAGGGCTAAACAATCCAAATGCCTCTCAAATTCTTTATCAATCCCTTCTGTTTTATTTTCTACAGCAACCACTTTACCATTGATTTGCTTAACTTCCTTAGTAATAGGCCCTATTGCTTCTTTGGGTTTTTTCATATCATCTTTCATTTCTTTTTTAGATGTCCCTAAACTCACAATTCTTTTCTCAAAGATTCCAAGATTCTCTATTTTACTCTCTATTCTGCATCCCATTTGTTCAAGTAATTTCTGCATCATATCTAATGTGACATGTTGGTCTGATGGACCTTCCCTGTCAAGGGTCTTTCTGGAACTCATTATAGGATAAGATCCAAGATACAAAAAGATAGAAATAGAGAGAGACCATTTTCAAATCAAATACTTTCACTTTTAGCTATCAGCAATTTGTATATTTTCACCATGGCAACAAAAATTTTAAAAAATCAAAGCAAGTACTCCCAAATGTTTTCAGTTACTTTCACTTTTAGCCATCAGGAGTTGGTCAAATAGTTTGTATTCATTCACCATAGCAACTAAGGTCAAATAGTCCCAGAATGTCTCAGAGTCTTATCTTCTATTATGTGTGATTATCCAATAACAAGTTATCCTCTAAAGTAAATATAAGAACAATTTCATGGCAGATTTATCTTCGCAGCCAAAAAACTTTCATGCATGCACTCTTCCATAAAAAATAAAATTAAAGATTAAAAATTTGAAATGGGAAAATGAATTAATCCCTCATCCATTTGGTTTTCTTCATTTCTTAATTACAGTTTTTGCCAGAGTTATTATTTCAAAAAATTATTTAAAGGTTTTTTATAATCCATGAGAGAGGTTACCTTACCAGGGGTTGTCTCTTTTGTCTTCAAGAAAATCTCTCTTTGGCTGTAGATAATTGTGTCCATAAATCTTAAGAAGTAGAGGAGGTCAGGCGTCAGTCATAGAATCATAGAGTTGGAAGGGCCCATGCAGACCATCTAGTCCAACCCCTGCCCAATGCAGGACCAGCCTAAAGCATCTCTAACAAATATTCATCCAGCCTCTTCTTGAAAGCTGTCACTGAAGAGGAGCTAACCACCTCTCTAGGCAGCTGATTCCACCTTTGAACCACTCTGACCGTGAAAAAGATTTTCCTAATATCCAGCCGATACCTTTCTGCATGTAATTTAAACCCATTGCTTCGGGTCCTATCCTCTGCTGCCAATTGGAATAGCTCCTTGCCCTCCTCCAAATGACAGCCTTTCAAATATTTAAATGTCCCCCCTCAATCTCCTCTTCTCCAAACTAAACATTCCCAAGGCCCTTAGCCTTTTCTCGTAGGGCTCAGTCTCCAGACCCCTGATCATCCTCGTCACTCTCTTCTTTACCCTTTCAATTTTGTCCACATCCTTTTTGAAGTGAGGCCTCTGGAATGGCACACAGTACTCCAGGTGCGGCCTGACCAAGACAGTATACAGAGGGGCTATGACCTCCTGTGATTTCGATCCTATGGCCCTTTTAATATAACCCAAGACTGAATTTGCCCTTTTTGCCACCACAGCACACTGACTGCTCATATTTAGTTTACAGTCCACTTTTACCCCAAGATCCCTTTCGCATACACTACTCCCCAGACTTATCAGGATTCCAAACGCAGCCGGGACCAAAGTTGTAAATTCCAAGACCTCATATTGCTCTAACTTGGGAGTTGTCTGCAAAGCATCTACTCAGTAGAAAACACCCAAGGAGCAACCTAAAGAGGTACACTTGGTTTATCTCTTTGATCTCCCTTTGATCTAGGGAGATTTTGCTGACTGAGCCCTCCTAGTCAGTAATTAGCTGTGTTGTGTCTTCACTCCCCATGAAGACATCAGCCCACGATTACATGTTCACCAGAAGCTTGTTTGTCGGGCTTCTACTGCAGTCCCTTTAAAGTCTGGGCAGAAGACAGCCCAAGGATCAGCTGTGCTGGCGGGGAGCTGAGAGCTCCCTGCCGGCTCAGCTTGGGGCTGCTTCTGGTGCAGCCCAGTTTAAACTGGGATGCAGGAAAAGGCAGCCCAGGATCAGTTGTACCCTTGGGGAGCAGACTGCTCCCTACCAGCCAAGCTTCTGGTGTGCAATTCCACCCCCATTTTTTCTTCTCAGTCTATTGGACACCCCCCCCCCAAATCAGGAGTTCAGAAAAATCCCAAGTCCAACTACTGCACTGGTATTGGGATCCAGAGACCCATTTTCCTCCCTGGTTCAATAGAGTTGAACTATAAAAGGGGTGGGGGGGGGTTTGCATGCCCCTAATAATATTGCAGAGTTTTATCAAACTGCTGTGCTTCTTACAACATCTTGCAAAAACTTTTTACACATTTGCACTTGTCAAGCCTAATGCCCCCTTGAGCTTGCATGTGCACACTCGCTTTTGAATTATGAAGATGATTGGTCAGATCCAAAGAACCCTGAGCTAAAGGAAAATTGCCATTATCGCTTCCCCCCCTTTGTGCAAGAGGACATGGTCTATATGTGTAAGGGCACTCTGGAATCAAATCCAACATTGCTATTGCCATTATTATCATTTATTCTACTCAAAGGCTTAGAAAAGAATATGGAATTTCACATTTATTGTTGTAGGTATTGCAAATTGCCTTGAGCAACAGGTTTGTTGGAATGGTGCCTGATAAACTAAGATTTTTAAAGTCCCTAAAAGCACAGAAAACTAATTTAAATGCAAAATATGGAGAATGCTGCTTACCTCTGACTTCAAACGGAAGGAAGGGTCAGAGCTCTGAGTGCAGCAGAATCTTTTACATTGCTAACTGGAATCTCAGTTCCTTTTCCTAGAGAGAGCATGTCCTCCTTATAGCTTAGGAGCAGGGAAAAGCAGGCCTACTTGGAGGTTTTCCATTCAGCTGGTGTAAAAAATATAACTGCTATTGTGAGTTGCAAAGTTACAGCTAGGGATGGGCACGAACTAGCTTCCGAACTAAAGTTCGTGATGAACTTTGGCCAGTTCATGGTTCACAAAGTGAAGTTTGTGACAGTTCAACCAGCTCAAACTTCCCACAGATTTTCAAGCAGTTTGTGGATGTCTGTGCCAGTTCATGAGTGGTTACATTTCCAGAAAGTCTGTCTGTGCATTGTATTTTATCGTTTGTAAACTGTATATTGTTCATTAGTTTTATGGAAGCTGCCCTGAGCCCACATCGGCGAGGAGGGTGGGATAAAAGTTAAAGTAATAAATAAATAAATAAATAAATAAATTTCGTTGTGTTTACTTCCCATTTTCTTGCACAGAGCTTGCAAAATCCAGTCGTCGTCCCCCCGCTTGGATTTGTGCTTTTAAGCTTGCAGTGCTAGTGGCACTGTGTTCTGCTGGGCACTCTGTACATTGTATTGGTTCTGTTGGCTTGCAAAAATGCCTGCCTTGCTCGAATTGTAATTGAGCTGGCATTGCCACATTGGCTCTGAGTTCTGCTGGGCGCTAGTACATTGCACTGGTTCTGCTGGGCTTGTACAAATGGCCCCCCTTCAGTTTCTGTAGGCAGAGTAATTAACACAGCAATAGTGTACAACCTGGTTAAAGTATCTGATAACAACAAGAGGGACCTGGATTCAGATGCCATGAAACTCTCTGGGCTAATCGCTTTTCCTAAACCTAGCCTAACTTGTTAGGTGGTTGTAAGTATAAAATGTGGAAGGGAGACTTGTGTATGCTGCCCTGAATTCCTTGGACAAGGTGTGAGGAAAAAACCAAACTAACAAATATGCACTTAACTGTATCTTCTTATCCTCAAGATGTTTCCATCATATTTTTCAGCTGAAGAATGAGAAACCTTTTTTGCTAGGATTCTCAGTCATTAAAATGTAAAATGAAATGCAGAAGTTTCTTTGGGCAGAGGGCTGTATGTTTTTCTTGAATCTTCTGTGCTAAATTCTAACTATGTTTTCTACATATTCTCCTCCTTTCATAGAGCCCATCAGAATCAAAACTGAAGAAGAAAATAACTAAGACGAAAGAAGCTAAAAAAGTATTGAAGAGAAAATTCAAAGTTAACACAAAAATTGTATTTACGGAAGATGGGGAGGTAAGCTCAGTGAAAACGTTTCGCTTATCATTGTAAGACGTCCTAAATGTGTTAACTGTTTTTGTCGTATAGCAGTTGTTCTTAGGCTTTTAACTTTCACAGACCATTTCCCTGTTGACTTGCTTGCTGAGGAACTCCTGGATGTCTGCTGTGGAATCTGTGCATTGGATTCTGGGTTGCCTAGTTTAGCTGATGGTAACTGGCAAGGCTTCTTGGATCTCATCCAACACTCCTTTGGATTTGCACATTGAGAACAACATGAATCAGCATAGGCAGGCTAACTTTCATAGAGTTTGTCTACTGTTATAATCTTCTGTGTGATAAATTTCTGAGGGTCCATAGTTTAAAAACCGCTGGCCTAGTGGAACTATATGTGGTTTAATGTAATTTTGACCAGAATTGTTTTGTTGAAATTCAACAGTTCTTTTCTAATCTCTGTCCATTTAAATTGGGCCTGGTGGGATAATCTGCCCCCAAATATCTTGGATTCAGTTGAGTATTTCCACATATGGAAGGATTTCTTCCCATAGTGTGGTTTTCTTGCCTCTGCTTCCCTCTGCAGCCCCAGATGTTCCTCAAAATGCTGTCCTGGGGTTTGGGGACAGAAATTTGGGCTGCAGCCAAAGAGGGGGAAAAGTTGCACCCCTTGGGTTGGTATTTTTTCATCTGTGCAAGTGGTCAGTTGGATCCAAGCCACGTTTTCTGATGATCCATGGTACAGTAGAAGAAAATGCTGGTCGCCTTTTCCATGGCAATCGATAACAAATACCAGTTTAAAATCCAAGTCCTCGTGTACTCTAATGCAGCTATACTGAACTTTTTGGGTAGGGAGAGAGGCCAAATGCTCTGTGGTAGAAGCAGAGGTTGCTAGGTCTGTGCATGTTCCTTACCACAAAGACATTTGTCAGTTAAAAATGATTCTGACACATGTCAATGGATTCAAGTGCATGATGCTCCAAATCATCTAGCAACTTTCTATCATGGATCAGTGGCAGGGACCCTCATATTTTGGCTTGGTTTACTAGTTAGCCATTACTGCTAGCAGACAAGTGGATTTGTGGAACCTGTCAATAGAATTCACCCTGTGGCGGTGTCCATGGTGCTGAATTGCCTTAAGAACACATTTTAGCATATTTCCGTTGTTCAAGATTTACTAAAATCAAAACAGAAAACTATTCCAGCTGCACAGAAAAGATAAATGTTCTGATTAAGCTTGAACTCGTAATGGTTTGTTTCTTGAAATAATTTAGCCTATTGCTTTTTCAAAAGCCAGCTTGGAAGCTGAGAATGATAGTGACTGTAGCAGCTGATAGAAAGTTGCTAGAATTTCTCTCTCTCTTTTTTGTAGGAAGTGCTGTAATGTTTTTCTGTGGCAGCCATGGATGCTGAACTGTCAGTTTCTATAATTAGGTTGATATATTAAGCCTTGTTCTATGAATTTGTGTGAGGAATGATCATGTTGAATGCGGTGCAGCATTCTGAATGTTGAATAGCAACGTGGCTTCTGAGCTAATCTCAGAGGGAGAGAAAAATGAAACAAGACATTAAAGACGCAAGGGTGGCCTTTTCCAACATGTGGGCTTGTGGGATTGTCAGTTTGAAATAAGCACATTTTAAAAATTCAATTTATACATCACCTGGTGATTTTAGTCACTTAGTGACTATTGTATTGTTGTTCTGTCTCCTGGCGTGCCTTCCTGCATGCCAGTATTTTTCCTGTGGATGAGAGATGTACATTCACCAATTCTGTCACTTCTCCATATCAGTATGCAGCAGCTCTGGATAGTCTCACTTCTCCTACACTGTAACAGTTCCAGGTGCCTCTTTTTACCCCAGAACTTCGTCCTTCCTTTCCCCTCTCCCTTCTGCAAAACATCTCTAAACAGCATTTTGCTGCCATGTCTGTCTACCTATTACCTGATAGCTTTGTGCAGTCTTTTGGAGTTGTGCAGATGTCATCATATTCAGTAACAATGGAGTGATAACTATATATCTTGCCTGTCTACTTGAGATAGATGTAGTGTAAGACACCATGGTCAAACTGGGGACCATTTTGACAGGACTCAGACATCTGACTGTTGAAACTTGTACATTGTTATAGCATTAGAGGTATGCCCCTGCTGCACTTCGTCATCACAACTGCAGATGGGCAGAGGATGATGGCATAATTACTGATGGTGAGAAGTGTCATCAAGTCGCAGGTAACTTATGGCAACCCCATAATGTTTTCCAGGCAAGAGCGAACAGAGGTAGTTTGCCATTGGTTGCCTATGCATAGCATCCCTGGACTTCATTGGTGGTCTCCAGTGTTCCCTCTAAGCTGAGTTAGTGTGAGCTAGCTCACAGTTTTTTAGCTTCCGGCTCACACATTTTTGTCTTAGCTCAGGAAGGATGGCTCCAGAGCAAACTAATTTATGCAGTAGCAAAATTGCTCACTCACAACATTAATGCCAGTGGCTCACAAAGTAGAATTTTTCCCCACAAGACTCCACAGTTTAGGGGGAGCATTGGAAGTACTAACCAGGGCTGAGCCTGCTTAGCGTCTGTGATCTGATTAAATCAGACTTAGCCTGGGTCATCCAAGTCAGGGCATAATGACTAGTTCAGCAGAATCAAGAGGTGTAAGAGGCTCCTGGACCCTGCAAAGTTGACTCTCACCTGGCCCCTCAGCCTGAGCAACTGTTCTCTATCCTCTTTCCTGTATCCTGCCTGATTAGTTGATTTCTAGTTTAACTGCCAGATTGCTTTCAGGCAGATGGTGGCCCAATTATGTGTGTGTTGAAGTCCTAACTGTGCTTGATTGGGTCAGTCTCAGCCTAAAATGAGTGAAAATACGTTTCTGGAAATAGGTCATTTGCGCCTTATGAGAACTGATCAGTATTTGTTTTACATCTCTAATTCCTGTGGGATCAAAACATCAATTTCTGCTTCCTCCCCCACCCCCCGCTCATAACTTTAAGACACTCTTGTAGAAATAGCAAGAACTTGACACTCTGCATTAGTAATAAACTGTGTGCTATAGTGTTTTTACTGTTCTTTTTTCATTCAGTTAATCCAGCAGTGGCCACCAGCTCAGAAGTCTGTTCAGAATAAAGCAGAAGAGGATGATGATTCTGGAGGAATCAATCTAGAAAGAGCAAAAGAAAGATTGCAGGAAGAGGACAAGTTTGACAAAGAAGACTATAGGAAAAAAATTAAAGAAAAACACAGGGTAAGTCCAAATGCCTTTCCATATGTGGGTGTATTAAAGACAAATGCCACCATAACATTGATGTTTGCTTGGAGAGTGACTTTTTTTGTACTTCAGTTTTTACGCACTGAAACATTTCAATTAGCTTCATAACTTGTTTAAATATTCTGTAGTGTTTAGAGCAGGGGCGTTGAACTCATTTGTTATGAGGGCCAGATCTGACATAAATGAGACCTTGTTGGGCCGGGCCATGTGTGTCATAAAATGTAATGCCAGGTAGCGGAGATATAAACTATATAAAGGACACAAACACAAAGATTTTTTTAAAATTTAAAAACATGCTTAAAACATTAGCTCTGTAAGCTGCAAACGTACTTTTGATTTATTGACATTTACCACAGAAATCTCATGCTCAGAGTTCTGAGTCTAGGACCCAGGTTAAAACATGAAGTGGCTGACTTGATTAAGAGAGTCTGGTGAAGCAAGCTATGATGCAGCAGCAGCAGCAGAACTGGAAGCAGGAGATGGCCAGTTTTCCACTGCAGGCCTGATGGAAGCCTTCCGGGGGCCTAATCCGGCCCCAAACCACATGTTTGACACCCCTGGTTTAGAGCATTCTTGTCTTTTTTCATTGGGTGACCCATGTGGATTTCAGCAGGGTAGCTGTGCTGATCTGTAGGAGAGGAGCTAAATTTGAGTCCAGTAGCACCTTAGGGACAAACATGGTTTTATGGGTACAAGTTTTTGAGAATCAGAGTTCCCTTTGTCAGATAGCTTTGATTCTCAGAAGCTTGTGTCAGAAAAATCTTGCTGGTCTCTAAGGGTGCTGCTGGATTCGAACCATTTGAATTGTGCAATATGGCTTCTTAATGCCTCTCCCTGGGAATAGAAAACCCTGACTTGGCAAGTATTCATACTGTGGGCCCTCCTAAGGAACTTCCAGGATAGCATCGATCCAAATACACAGAACTGGACACCACACTATAACTATACAGTCTGGGTGGCTATCAGGCCCTTAGTCTATTGAGATTAAAACATTTTACAAGAACCCAGAACAAGTACACAGGGCAGTGACAGCAAAAGGCATGTGTCTGTTTTCCATCAATAAGAATGAGGACTAGAGAGCATTCAAATGAGGTGTTCATCATGCTACATGATATTTAAGTGCCTGATGTGGGCCTTTTCATAGAGATGGTTGAAGGCTATCAAACATGCTAATGAATTATTCAAGAAATGGCTCAGATATAATGTGATTGATTTGGGCTGTAATGTAAAGCTTTTGTGCGTGTGCTTTATAGCCTTTTTGGCATTTAAGAAAATTTTGAATTGTAGACCATAAAAATGCGGAGGTAGTTTCTGGACCATTTATTTGTCATAAACGAGAGCTGGAAGTTTGAGAACTTGACAGCAGAGAATAGCTATAAATGTTACACAGTCTTGTCAATGCCCATTGATTGTGCTCCTTCTTCTCATTATTGTTATTTATAGTATTTCTGTTTTTTGCAACACCTAAAAAGCTGTAAGGACATTGAGCTGTGTTCCCTATAGAGAACAAGTAGACTGTGCATCAAAAAACAGAATGGCCAAGAGCTTTTTTTAAAAGTTACTTAAGTTTGCAGCAAAGTGAGGAAAAAGTTTTTCCGGGAGGGGTGTGTATGAAAACCCTGTTTACCTGACTCAGAGTAACACTTCCATTAGTGGAGTAGGGAAGGGCTGTTTTGGCTTATTTCTCTCTCCCACTGCAGATCTGCCTCCCCCCCCCCATAAACGCAAAAAGTCAGAGGACTTTTTGGAAACCCCCACCAAAATGTGGAATTTCAAGGAGTCAGTAAGCTGCATAGTTTGGAGTTCCACCAGCCTCTGTTCAACTCATTGTTTTTACCTTAAGACCTACTTAGGTTTCCCACTATTCACAGAGTTCCTAATTTTATTTTATTTTCACTCCATTTGTACCATGCCTCTTTCCCCAATGGGGACCCAAAGTGGCTTGCATCCTTCTTCTTTAGAACATAAGAACATAAAAGAATATAAGGGAAGACATGTTGTACCAGGCCAATGGCCCATTCAGTCCAACACTCAGTGTCACACAGTGCCCAAAACCCAGGTGCCATCAGGAGGCCCACCAGCGGGGCCAGAACTCTAGAAGTCTCCCACTGTTGCCCCCCCCAAGCACCGAGAATACAGAGCATCACTGCTCCAGACATAGTGTTCCATCTGTATGTTGTGGCCAATAGCCACTGATGGACCTCTGCTCCATATGTTTATCCAGTCCCCTCCCCTCTTGAAGTTGGCAGTGAATTCCAGGTGTTAATTACTTTTTGGGTGATAAAGTACTTCCTTTTATCTGTTCTATGCCTACTGCTCATTAATTTCATGGTGGGCCCACAAGTTCTTGTATTGTAGGAAAGTGAGAAAAGTACTTTTTTCTCTATCTTCTCTATCACATGTATCATTTTGCAAACCTCTGTCATTTCACCCCCTCAACCATTGTTTTTCGAAGCTAAAGAGCCCTAACCTCTTTAGCCTTTCTTCATAGGGAAGGTGTTCCATCCCCTTAGTCATTTTAGTTGCCCTTTTCTTCTGCTTCTTTTCCAATGATATAATATCTTTTTAGAGGTGAGGTTACTAGAATTGTACACAGTATTCCAAATGAGATTGCACCATAGATTTATACAGGGGCATTATGATACTGACTGATTTGTTTTCAATATAATAATCCCCAGTATAGCATTTGACTTTTTTATTGCAGTCGCATACTGAGTCGAACCTGAATGAGTTATCTACCATGACTCCAAGATTTCTCTCCTGGTCAGTTTCTGCCAGTTCAGACATCATCAACCTATATTTATTGTTAGGATTTTTGGCTCCAGTGTACAATACTATGCACTTGCCGATGTTGAACCTCATTTGCCATGTTGACGCCCACTTGCCCAGCCTCGACAGATCCCTCTGGAGCATCTCATAGTCCTCCCTGGTTCTCACTGCCCTGAGCAACTTAGTGTCATCCACAAACTTAGCTATTTCCCTGCTTACTTCCAGCTCCAAATCATTAATGAACACGTTAAAAAGCACCAGACCTAGTACTGAGCCCTATGGTACCCCACTGCTTGCCACCCTCCATTGTGAAAACTGCCCGTCTCTGTTTCCTGTTAGTTAACCAGTTTTTAATCCACAAGAGGATTTGTCCTCTTATCCCATGACTACTGAGTTTTCTTAGGAGCCTTTGATGACGAACTTCATCAAAAACTTTCTGGAAGTCTAGGTAAACAACATCTACTGGCTCACCCTTGTCCACATGTTTCTTTCCTCCATTTTATCCTCACAACAACCCTGTGAGGTAGGTTAGGCAGAGAGTGTATGGCTGGCCCAAAGTCACACAGCAAGCTTCTTCCATGGCAGAGTGGGGATTAGAACCTGGGTCTCTTTAATTGTAGTTGGGTATTCTTACCACTCCACCATGCTGGCTCTCAGTATATGTGGTTGATATTCTAGTCCCCTACCCTTTTTTAGTTTCCACTTTCTCTTCCACCTACCATGTAATCTCTGCCTTCAAAAAGTTGTACACAGGGCTAGCTGTTAACTGTAGTTAACAAATCGAGAGCTGTCTCAGTTCAGCCTCATCATAAACAGTTATATATCATACCATACTATTTTCCTGTATCAGATAGTGGCTAGTGGCTAGTGCAGTGATGAGAAACACACAAACTTATGATGTCACGTAACATGTTCCCATAACAGCATGTTAAAAGACAGGAGAAGGACGTCAACCCACTGTTGTTTTCAGCAGCAGCCCTGGGTGGGTATCGTATCTAGTTCCAACCTGTATTATAGGCTGGAATGTAGCTGTCTGCTGGATCCCAATGTCCCACTCTTCTCCCTCCCCCCCAATATATCTGAAGACTGCCTTGCAGAAGAGATACCCTTGTGACTGATTACAGTAGGACTTAATCCCAGATAACATTCTCAGAATTGCATTCATTATAGGGAAGTAAATCCCTTTGACTTCTGTTAGACTTATTCTGAGAATTATAAATTTCTAAATATTCTGCAATGGTGCTTAGCAAAACTGTCATAGTTGAACATGAAAACACTGCCAGAGATTCTTCAAAGACTGTGCTTTTGCTTGTCTTTGAAACAGAGCTAAATTGCCAGCTACATATGTGAAGAGTTAAGAAATTATACAGGAAAGCTCAAATATAGCAAAAGAATTAAAGTACTGTTCTCTGTCAAGAGTCACTTGGATACTTTTGTCAATATGTTGTTGTTATTGTTTCCACTTACTTTCATTTCATGAGGGATAATCAAGTCTATTGTACAAAAATAAATACCTTGAATTGAGTAATAAAGGTTTTAATAAAGTTTGCTACTGCTCTCAAATTCTGTACTTTAAAACTGTTCGTTCAACATAACTCTTAAATGAAGCAATTTTTAAAGCTGCAGAAAATGTCAAATTAACGCCAGTTGTTCACTTGTACATTATAGAAGCATAAGGAGTTAGAATGATTGACCGATAAAGTATTTAATAACTGGATTCCAACAATAGAAGTAGCATAACTTAATCTTCAGAGTTCATGAATTTGTCAAGGAACTGGCTCATTGATTTATAATATTCCAGTCAGTCTCTCCACATTTCTTCATTACCTCATGCCCTTGAAATATAATTACTTTATTTCCATTTTCAATTTTTTTTAAAACCACCAAGCTGGTTTTGCCTGCTACTTGAAAAGGAAAATAAGATAAATTATTTGCTGCTTACCCTCCAGTTCCTCATTCTATGCTATGCTAACCAAGGTGGTGGGATCACACTCACCTTCCTAACTTCAGGCATACCAAGGTGTATACCTGATGTATACTTGTGCTGAGTACAGTAAACCTAGGCACAGTAATGGACTATCTTTAATCAGAGCCAGTGTGGTATAGTGATTAAGAGTGGTTGATTTTGATCAGGAGAACGGGGTTTGATTCCCTACTCCTCTTTGAACCAGTCACAATTCTTTCAGAACTCTCTCAGCCCCAACTAC